GTTTTTGTATTTTTCTTCTGTGTTTATATAAAATTCTGATTTAAATATAAAACTAATGCATGTTTTAAATAAATTCTGATTTTTTCTTTTAGTTCTGAGGGTTTTAATAAATTCAGATATTTTAATTCTAATGTTTTTGTTAAATTCTGATTTTTGCATTTTAGTTCTCCATGTTTATAATAAGTTCTGATTTTTGTGTTAAAACAACATGTTTTTAATAAATTCTGATTTCGTTTTATTTACCATTCCATTTTCATTGTTGCAATTATCAATGTTTATTGTTGTGTTTTCTTGTGTATTTTGTTCTGTTTGTTGGCGGCTAAATATGTTGCTCCATAAATTTGCTAATATAAAATGTTGTTGTTGTTGTTGTAAAAGTTGGAAGGCTGATGTTATTGTTGAATTATCCTCAACATTTTCGTTGGTTCTATTACCTGACTCGACTACCCTTAAATTAGTTAATTAAATTAATTTTTAAAATTAAATTTATTAAAACTGAATTTTGTTGCTGTTTTTTGAATTATTAAATTTTTCTATTTGCTCTCCATTAGCATTTTCATGTTGGGAATTTTGGTGTTTTTCTGGAGAATTTGGTGGATGATGGTTTTCGATTGTTGGCAGTAATACATCTTCTGAGGAAGTGCCATCATTTGATGTGTTATTACGGTCCTTTAAGATGAAATTTTTTAAATTTAATTCCATAGGTTAGACTCTTATATTAATAAAAGAACATTTTTGAGATGTTTGTACACATTGAAGAGGGTGAAATGAGAGGGAGAGGAGGATAGGAAGGGGGGGAACTACGCAAGTTGGCCAGAGAGGGAGATGGACAGGGTGAAACTACACAAGTTAGCCACACGGAGGGAGTGGTGTTGGGAGACATTGGAGCTGTCTAGGCGATTCTTATATCAATGGAGACACACTTTGGGTACACAAAAATCAACAACTAATACTGCTCAAAGAAATGGATCTTCCGGATTTCGGATTCTACTCTCGTTACGAGCTGAATTAAGGCTCGGATTTTTCCAACATCTTTAAATAAAATAAAAATTTACTTTTAAATGTTTTTGTAATTCATTTTTATCACGAAATGCCAGATTGCAACAACGGCATAAAATAACACGGCGGCTTTTCTGGCAATGTACTGTAGACATATGAGAACTTAAGGCAGATGTACCACCTAAAAAGAGAGAATTAATAAATTTTTTTTCACACTAATTCTATTTTTAAAGCTTAACATTCGATTGACATTTGCGGATAATCTAGGGTGGATTGAGAGGGAGAGGAGGACATCAAGGAACTTAACCGATTAAGAACTCAAAACTTGACATGACCAAAAGAAATCCTTGTTCCAATTTCTAGACTTCATTTTTCGTCAAGAAATTGGAAAGTTCTCTTTACTCTTTTTTGTCGCAAAAAGGATTCCATCATTAGAATCGTTTGGGAACACGTGACAATTGTTCCAAATTTCTAGACTTAAGTATTGTCAGGGAATATTCTGTTCGCAATCTCGAAACCTGTTTACATCCCCTAACATAACTAACTATACAGTCGGATCTCGACAAGACGTTAACATAGAGACCAAATTAATTCAACGTCTAGGTGGAAGAAACTTCCTATTTGGGGTGAAATCTACACATCACCTGGGACCAAATTGTGTATACCTAATAAAGAGAGTAACTATGTGGGAGAGATTTGTTATCGAGATTCGACTGTATCAACTCAAAAACCACTTATCATCTTCTTCTTCATTTCCATTCAAATCCAAACTTGCCCCAATCTCTTCATTTTTCCAACTTCTTTCAATTAATTTATCAATATCTTTTTTATCACACAGAATATTAAAACAATTGTCGTTATTATTCAATTCTTCCTCCTCTTCAACATCCACAAATAAATTATTTCTTCCTCCTCTTCCCCCACCAACAATATTTTTATTATTCTTCACTTCCCCATTAATCAATTCCAAATTTTCTTCCCCCAAATTTATTGCTGTCCTCAATTTTCTCTTCCTCGAACCGGCAAACCCAGCACATTCCAAGGCCCTAACATATTCCGTTTTTCTTTGCAAAATTCTACAAACATTTGATTTTGCAATAGCGTATCGTTCTGCTATACTTGCTTGGCTTAAATTTGTGCAGCGTTCTGCGAGGCGGATTAATTCGACTTTTTGTTCTAAGGTTAATTCTTTGTAAGGCTTTTTCTTCTTCTTCTTAGGCATGTTCGTGGTTGGCATAATGTTTGTTGTTGGCGTTCTGTTTGTTATTGGCGTTCTGTTTATTTCGTTTTTTAAATTATCCTCGTCCTCATTAACGTCAATATCCCTTAGATTATTTTTGTAGGACGAATGAGACATTTGATCTTCCAATCCATCCTTATTTACCAAATCATTCATTGTTGTCATCAACATTTTGGTAGAAAAGAGGGAAAAATTGTTTGTTTTCTTGAATTTTTCTAATTGAAAATTTTGAAGGTTATCGTCTTCTTCTTGAAGCTTCGAGTTGTTTACTCTTCCAAAATCCATACCTTCACAATTTTTCTTCGTTTCCTTTCCATTTTCTTCAAAAAATCCAAATTTTGCGTTCAAAAACTTTTTTCTCTCAAAATGGGACGAAATGTCATTTTCTTCCATTTGTTGGGCACAACGCCAAGAATTATTAAAATTTAAATTGTTTTGAGGTTTGAAAGAGCTAGTGCTTTGAATTGTCTTGTTTAGCTTGATCTCTTCATTAATTTCTTCATTAATCTCTTCCAAAGAATTATTTTGTTGTTGTTCCCCCTCCCCATTCTCCCCCATTTCTGTTTTCATCATTGCAGTCAAAGCTAAACCGTTAACTATAAATCCGTGTAAAACCGAGGTTAAACCGTTGTCATTATTATTAGAATTATTGTTAGTTGAGGAATAATTGAATGATTGTTGTGATTTTTCTGAGGATTCTAAAGTTATTAGTGAAGAAACAGAATTGTCTAAAACATCGCCATTCATTCCCTAATTTTTAGAATTATTATTTATTATGAGAAAATACGGTATGAAATATGTAAGGGAAAGAAATGATGAAAAGTATTAAATATACAGAATATAAAGACGCATAAATCCGGCATTAAGAATTTTCTAGGGGTGTATTCATCCTTGTCTTGCTAAAATCGCAATCCGTAAGAATCAGAAAAGGATTTTCTTAAATTATTTTCATATGCATGGGATTCTACAGGATTTTTCTACAGTATTAATCCCAGGATCCAACAATCCCTCAAATTGAAAAAATCAAAGATCTCTGAAAATCCCTCAGAGGATCCCTCTCATGCCACTCATATCTAATTACAGTCTGTCTAGAGTTTAAAAAATTTAGGTCTTAGAATAGCGACTTAAGGTTTTTTTCGAATAAGGTATAGTCAATCAATAGAAACGAAATGAGATCTCGATCGAAAATCTCGATTATCGAGATCGAAAATTTTTCGAGATCTCGATTCTCGTACGACACTCCCAGTCCAGTCTCTAGTTTAATATCTTAAAGTCAATTTTAGTTTTAAAATTAAAGTATGTATATTAAAGGATACGACAATAATTTTGTTGCAAAGATATTTTTTATTTTTTAATCCTTTATAAAATAAAGCGAAAAATGAACAAATATTAATTAAATGTTTAAAAAAAACAAAAAATGAACCGGAACAAATAGAACGTTTTTTAGCGCAACTTTCCACTCTCCTCATCAAAAATGAGACAAGTTAAGGCGAAAACTGAACAGTTTTTTTCAACTAGATTTTAAATAATTAAAGAGGGGAAAAGGGGGAAACTGGAAGGAATAAAGGGATTAATGATGAAAATTGGGAGAAATTGGGAGAAAATTTAAATGAATAGGGAGATTGAAAAGAGATGGAAAAGGGTTGATTTTAATGGACAATGACATTTGAACCAAAAAATTAAAAAAAATACTAAAAATTAAAGTACAGTCGAAACTTCGCTTAGTGTTCAGTACGAGATGATAATCTTGAGAGATAATTATCTCGAGCAAAATTAAAATTTTTTAAAATTTTTCCTTCGAGATTATCGAAAAACACCATTAACTGAACAATAATAGAGCTTATTTAAGGTATCCTTTTTAAAATCTGTTTGGCCAACAAGTGAGGGAGCTATTAGGAACACTCTTGATGGAGGGAATACTATTTACAATCAGTAATAGACCGGGTTGAAAATTTAGGGTCTATTTTTCGTACTAGGCTCTACTTTTCAACCCGGTCTATCACTAATTGTGAAAAGTATTCCCTCCGTGAAGAGTGTTCCTGACATCTCCCTCGCCTATTGGCCAACCAAACTTTAAAAAGCATACCTTAAATTTATCGGATCGGGGTTTTCAAAATTTCTCCAGATCAGGTTTCGGATCGAAAAAATGTCATCGTTTGTCCGGCTTTCAGACATCGGGTAACCCACTATGTCTGGTAACAATAAACCTTTTTTAAGGTACGATTCAGTTCATGGATTACTGTTCGACTTTACGTCAAATTTAATTTGTACGTTAGTTTAGGCCAGTTCAACAGAGATGGGGAGGGAAATAATCCACTTAAATTTAATGGCATTCTACAACATTAATGTTGAATAACCAAGAAATTAATTTTTCAAAAAAGAATTCCAAAAATTATTAAAAACAGGGGAGACGACGAGTTGTCTGTCTGGTTTAAAAATAAAAGAAAATGAACAAGAAAGAAACAAAAAAACAATAAAAAAATGAAAGATAAAAGAAAGAAATATCCGCTCTTGTCTCTTTTTTCAAAATAAATCCTCTTTTTTATGCTAAATAACAAAACAACTTTTCTTTTCAAACAATTATTGCGCGATTTACGCAATAAAATAAAGTTGCACAAACAGCCGAAAAGAAATCACGTCATCACATCAAGTCCAATTTTCCTTTTCTTCTTCTATTTCCTTTATTTTCTATTATTTCCAAGCATTGCTGTTTTATTTCTGGCAATAAAAGTTACAAGAGATTACAGTATTTACAGTAATAATGATTTCTCGTAAGGAGACATTTTGTCAAGTTTTTGCAGGTATGGCGTTTTGTCAAAATTTTGTACTAGTGACATTTTGTCCAATTTTTTACTTTTGGCGTTTTGTCCCATTTTTGAAAGTGTGGCGTTTTGTCCAATTTTTGAAGGTGTGGTGTTTTGTCCAATTTTTGTATGTGACGTTTTGTCTAATTTTTCCCAAGATGGCATTGTGTCGCATTTTAGCAACGTAACATTTCAGAGATCCATGCAAGAACAGATAAATAAATAAAATTTCCATCCAAATATCACACCCAACTGATTATCAAAACTTTCAAAGCATTCATAAAAATCCACCAAAAAACAGCTTTCATCTCCTCAAACAATTTTCTCTCTACTATTAGCTAATATCGAGACGATGAACTCTTATATTATTGCGCGATAGAATTAATCTATTAATGTGCTCAATTAAAGACTTTTTTTGCATTTTGGCGTTTTATCCTGTTTATATACGAGAATAAATTAAAAATTAAATAAATATCCCCTCCTTGCCTAATGAGATAAAAATATTAAAGAGAAAAGAAGGGAGAGAAGGGAATTTCTTGTTTTTTAAAATATTTTTGGCCTAAGCACCAAAAACTAGTCGGGGAATAAATTAAAAAAGAATTGCGCAAAAAAGAGGATTTTATTTATTAAATAGAAAGAGAGGGAGAGAAAGCAACGGGAAGACGACCGCGGGAATAACAACAAAAAATTAGATGATGACGTTTTAGTTGGACATTCTTTTTGGAAATTTGGATATTATGATTTTCTTTTTTCTATAAAGAAATTTGGAATATTTATAAATAAAACTGATGGGTATCTGGCAACAAATGATTTTTTTCGGATCCAGTGGACTTTCTGCCAAATGGACATTTTGTACATTTTTGACTCTTCGGAAACTACATTATTATCCTAAGACCATGGTTACCGCCCAAAACCAGATACCCGAAACCTGGCATTTTTTGTAGTCGTAACCCGAAAAGAAAATTTTCCAACCCGATACCCGTGACCCGTACCCGAAGATTTTTTTGTACCCGGTGCAACACTGCTATAGACACTTCAATTTTGACCATTTGTACACTTAGTACTAGAGACTGGACTGCGAGTGTCGTACGAGAATCGAGATCTCGAAAATTCTCTCGATAACCGCGATTTTTTATCGAGATTGCCTTAGACCGGTGAGTGCCGGAAAATTGGGCTCTGGAAAATTGGGCTCCAAGATTTTTCGGAAAATTGGGCTCCAACTTTTCGGAAAATTGGGCTCCAGCGGAAATTTGGGCTCTACGTGAAAAAAAAACGGAAAATTGGGCTCCAATTTTTTAGGCGCGGGGAATTGTGGGCGTCAGAGTGAATTTTTGGATTTCAACAGAAAATGACACAAAATCAAACAACGTAAACCTATGGGCGTCGGCGAGGCGCTTGTGCAAAATCCCGCGCTTCGCGCGGGATTTTGCGGCACGCGCCTCGCGGGAGTCAACGGTCGCTGGGTTCTACAACAGTAACATAAACCTATTCCTTTTTACTGATTTTCAGCTTTGAAATGCCGACCTACCCACTAAGTAACAGTACAAAAATAGTTATTCCAGATTTTTTTCGAATAAATCCAAAAATTCACTCTGACGCCCACAATTCCCCGCGCCTAAAAAATTGGAGCACAATTTTCCGTTTTTTTCACGTAGAGCCCAAATTTCCGCTGGAGCCCAATTTTCCGAAAAGTTGGAGCCCAATTTTCCGAAAAATCTTGGAGCCCAATTTTCCAGAGCCCAATTTTCCGGACACCTAGACCGGTCTCCTCAACCTTGTACTATTTTGACCATATCGATATTTTGTATCTTTTGGTAAAGATTCAAGGATATTTTTCCTTAAAGTACATACAAAACGGTCACATGCCACATAGCCATATAATCAAGTTACTAAAAATGGCTAATAATTTAGATTTATACGAACTACCGAAATATAATCAAAAATACCCAAAAACACTAAACATAAATTTAAAAAATAAATTTTAAGCTTCAGAAAAAAATTAAAAATTAGCTAGTTGAGAAGGGCAATTAATTTATTAGTAATTTATATTTTTTCCTTTAGCGCTGATAATACATATGTTTAAAAAGTTACTTGAGAATGATTAAAAAGGGGAGAAAATTAAGTAAATAAATTAATTAAACTAAATTCCGGAATAATTCCGGAATTGTGTTCTTTTATAGTATTTCTTGTTGCGCCTGTTTATGAGAAGCAATCAAGCAAAAAAAAACAAGAAAAGGTGATAAAATGATTAAAATTAATTTGTCAATTGGTTGAAAAAAGGAATTTAATTTTTTGATATTTGCGGATAAAAAAAGAAAAAAAATGCGGAAATTTAAAAAATAAAGGCAAAATAAAGAATTACTCGTAAAATAATTAGAAGACTAATCCGACTCAAAATTTTTAAAAAAATTTATCACCAAGGGAAACTACAGTTGATTAGGGCGATTTTAACTGGTAGAGGTATGTCCCGGCCTAGCTGGAGTTGACATCTCATAATTTTGACCATAAAAATTAACTCGAAAGCCAGAAAACGAAATAAAAGTCGAAAATCACGAAATTTCGAAACAGCTAGAGGTCTTTACTAGTGACCGACACCAGATCCGGCCGGATTTTTCCGGAGTCCGGGTCCCAAATCCGGATTTTTTGAGATTTCCGGACTAAAACCGGACCGGATTAATCCGAAAAAATCCGGCCGGATCCGGTCCTTTAAGTTACAAATCCGGAATCGGGATCCGGGTCCGGAAAAATCGATTTTGACGGTCACTAATCTTTACATTTGTCTTTGATTTAATCTTGGAGAACTGCAAAACAAAAAATTAATATTGCGTACGCAGTCCGCAATAATATTGCAGATTTACGCAAATTCTAATCAAACTAAAATTTTTAAAAAAATCCTGATTTTCTTCTAAAACTAAAAATTTTTGATTTGTGACGGAAATAGTTAAAAAAAATAATTAAAAAAAGGAATTTTCTTTCAAAAGTACTCTTTTTATTTACGGGTCAGTTTTTATCAGGTAGTTGTGTGTGTTTAATTTTCTATATTCTCTTAATGCAGGTTTAAACGGGATTTGATATTATTATTAAAGTGATTGTGGTGAAAGTCAATGAAGAACCTGAATTTTTATATACGGAAAAAATATTTGTTATAATTAAAAAAGCAAAATTTAAGGTAAGTAAAGTATATTAGAGCCTTTTAAGTACTTTAAGACTAATTCCGTTCGAGAGTTCCGTTCGAGGTTCCGTTCGAGTTATCGAGTCGGACATTGATTTTTGTCATGAAAAAGATTCGATAGGTCTGGCTGGCCCGAAATAATGAGGCCCAAAAGCTTGATGACTCGAATGTCGGCCCGATTCGAACGGCAACTCTAAATAAGAACATCTATACTGAAGAGATAATGTAAACCGGAAGGGTAACTAAAGTAAAAAAATTTTGTATTTTTTTAAATACCAATATTGGAAAGCGAAGATTAAAAAAGTTTTTAAAAATCTGAATGAAAAACGTAGGAAATTGGAGGGGGCATTAAGGTTCAGCAAGACGTCTCGTAAGATATATCTCTATCTTATCTTTTCTCGAAAGATAGAAAACAGGGATGGGTCGGGTTTCCAGGGCTTTTTCGGGCTTTTTTGACCAGAATAAGACCATAATTTTGTGTATAATCTACAAATCTCATAAAATCAGTTATATTTCGAAGACACATCTTTAAAAGACATTTAAAAAAATTATTTCCTCAGAAAATAAATAGTCTTGTACATAGTACATGACAAATAAACTTTTTTGAGTAAAAATAAATGGTTGTTATAATAAAAATAATTTAAAAGAAATGAGCATTAAAGCCAAGAAGAGTGATAAAATAAAAATAATTTTTTATAGTGTTGGCGTTGTGTTTATTTTAATATTTACACAATATATTTTATTAGATTTTCGGCCAAAACAATTTTATAATAAAAAATTATTTGCACAAGTTTTGTATATTTTCTAAGGGTATTTTTGAGTGACCAAAAATCAGCATGAAGAAATTTTATGGTTATTTAGTTGAATTTTTTAGTATTTCCTAAAATAGAATTTTTAAATTTTTTATTACGAAAGTAAAGGAAACTAAATTTTATAATTTTTTAAATTTTTTAATTGGCTTTCTAGTCAGTAAAGGACAAGAAAGACCGCGTGCAGCCCTGGTCGAGGTTCAAAGCTTGCTTCGATTCTGAATTCGTGTAACCTATCCGTACCCCTGTGTCAATTTTGAATTGAGGGGATGCAGGAATTGAGGTGATGCTTTTCCGGGCTCAGAAACTTGCTCCAGGAAGTTCCGTGTTTGTTCCGAGTTCCAGAAATTTTTTTAAAATTTGGAAAGCTCTAATACTGTGTTTTTGATAAAAAAATTTTTCTCATTTTAAAATAAATTTAAAGAAAAATTAAAGAAAAAATAAAAGAAAAGATCAACAGAAAGGGTATACTTTTAAAAATAATTATTTTTGAAAAATTATTTTAATGATGCTGAAAGGAAATTGAGATAAACTTTAAAAAATACACAAAATGAGAAGAAGAAACGAAAAAAAGGCCTAAGGCCGGATTAACCTCAAAAACACGCAATAACCAAAAAAATCACTCAATCGTTCTATTCCCTCCCTCTCTTTTTTAATATTTTAGTTCACTCATTTACAATGCACTTTTAAATATTTTAAATGACCGTGTAAAAAAATAATTCCCTACATGCCATTACATAATGTTTAGTGAAATAATACAAATGGGTCAGTTTTTTGAAAATTTTGTATAATCGAGTCTTTAAAGAATTTCAAATAACGAAGTGTTTCCACTTTAGTTACAAATCAAGAATTTTATCTAAATAGAGTACTTAATTAAAATCATAGCTTAATTGACATGGTCTAATGTGTACTAATTTGCTATGATTTGGTAATATTCTATATAGGGCCGTGCCATACTACTAAAGGTATTTGTCGATAATCAACGTTATTCTTTATCGGCAGTACAGTATGGAATATGTACAATGTTTTGAAGTACATATATTTTTTTATTACCGCTCGGAGTACGGTACGGTACAAAATTCAAATCCCTAATTAATTACAGACTTTTATAAATGAGATTAATGGGCATTGTCCACTGTCTACTAATTTCTATGTACATTTGGTAATATTCTATAAAGGATCGACCACGACATTTTATTGCCAAGTACCGATATATTGCAGGTCAAATTTGAACCGGCAGTGTCTTTAGTTAAACCAACAATTTCAAA